GTGCGAGAAAACACACCGTACTTCCCTTGTAGCAAGACAGCCGACTATCGGAATTGCATTGTAAATATTATTTGCTTAATGTTTATGTCCTCCCGTATCTAAAACACCTTCGAGTCTTGCAAATGCGCAGAAGAGTTCCAGTGACGAAATTTAAAAATTACAAAAAAAGTAGTTTGGAGGGAATATATTATTCTGAAACCAAAACGGCCAAAGAAGTATTTATTGCTAATAGAACAAGGGGCATGATCTTGCTTCTTTTTTTTCTTCACATACATGACTCTCAGTATATTTGTGCTGATATTGTTTGATGTATGCCTCCTTCGCCTGCTTAGAGTAGGATTCGTACGTAGCCATTAAGAGGGGTTTAGGGGTCTAGCTCGTCTTAAATAAAACACGAAGTTTAATTTTGTGTGATGGATTCGTGCTAATGGGCAAGTTATTTTCCATTTGATGAAAATGAAAATTTCATTCATTCTTTTATTCATTCAAAAAAATTAGTTAACCCGAGTCGCGAAATGTCACAAGGTTTCAATCGTTCCCGATTTTCAAGCATACTCAAATGCCAACTTGTCGAACTCCCGCGAAATAAAATTGTGGCTACGGCATAGTTTTATTTATTAAACTACAGACCAAAAAAAAAACCCTTAAAACTTGCATGTGATTTTTGGGATGGAAGACTAGCTGCATTTGTTGTGTTTAGAAGTGAAGCACGTTTGCACAATGCCCCAACTTAATTGGTGCTAAGATATTTTTTCATGAAAACATAATATATGTATTAATTCTATTTCATTGTCACTTCTGTTACACAGAAAGTCGAATCGAATTCTACTTATAGTAGCGGCTCGTGTATAGAAAAATTGGGTATTCATAGAAATGTTTGGGATGTCCCAGCATAAAGATGATTGCATTTTAGGGGAAAAGTGGAGACAAATGTTAAGGTTTTTAACATCTGAAAAATGGATTCAGGCCATATTTAACAGACCTATTCTTTCACTGCATTAACTAAAGCAGTGAAGTATTGATACCAGACAACATATTTATTTATCATAATAATAGAATGTATCTACCTCACCAGCGATCTAATTAATAACTAAAGCACTTACTAAATTCCCGAGCCCTAGAAACACTTCTGGATTAACAAATGATCCATTTTTGTCAAGGAACCAAATCTGATGCAATCAATCATTCCATATAATTTTTCTAACCACTTTCTCCTTGTGCTTTGCAATCAACTGCCGGCAGGCGCAGTCATATTGTGTACAAACATTTACACGTTCAAGCACTGTAGATTATGCTCTATGCAAGCCATTCTTGCGAGTGCGATTGCGTATGCTTCTTGTTTTGTTTTTTTAATTTACCAATATGTGAAACGCCTCTTTTAATCCAAATTTTGCCCGTACGTTAACACATTTATTTTTAGCAAGCTTCAGAAATAAAACTGATGATGCCGTTTTGATCACCCGCATAGCCACTTGTGGTCACTTTACTATCGGATGACATCACGTTTCGCAGTTTTTGTTACTTTCGCAAAATTAAGTGAACATTGATGAGGTTCCAAGGTTTTAATTTCGATCTTGTCTTCGCCGCTAAGATGCTTTGAAAGTGTCTTTTCCATCAAAATGCATGGTCAATAAAACGTATTTTTTGTAGGCATGACAGATTCGAACTGTTAACTTTAAGTGTTCACGTCACATTTAGCAATATGGGAAAATAGATACTTTTTCAACTAGATTTTAAATCAACTGGCTAATGCAAATAAATATAACAGACAAGAATCGACACACCACAAGTGTTTGCTATAGCAGCACCAGGACTGCAGGTTGAAACAGTGCTGATGCGCACGTTTTCTTGTGCCCTGGAATACCTGCCCCCTCCAGTTGTTTACTAATTTTGATAAATTGAAAATAAATTAGAGC